ACTGAAGGAGATAGACACAAAGAACTCTTAAAAAAAAAAAAAAAATCAGTGAATCCAGGGGCTAGTGTTTTTTTTTTTTTTTTTTTAAAGATCAACAAAATAGATAGGCTGCCCTAGCCAGACTAATAAAGAAGAAAAGAGAGAAGAATCAAATAGATGAAATAAAAAATGATAAAGGGGATATCACCACCAATCCCACAGAAATACAAACTACCATCAGAGAATACTATAAACACCTCTATGCAAATAAACCAGAAAGTCTAAAAGAAATGGGTAAATTCCTGGACACTTACACCCTCCCAAGAGTAAACAAGGAAGAAGTTGAATCCCTGAATAGACCAGTAACAAGGTCTGAAATTGAGGCAGCAATTAACAGCCTACCAACCAAAAAAAGTCCAGGACCAGACGGATTCATACTGAATTCTACCAGAGGTAGAATGCTTTTATTCTGAAACTATTCCAAACAATAGAAAAAGACAGAATCCTCCCTAACTCATTTTATGAGGCCAACATCATCCTGATACCAAAACCTGGCAGAGATACAACAAAAACAGAAAATTTCAGGCCAATATCCATGACAAACATTGATGCAAAAATCCTCAATAAAATACTGGCAAGCTGAATTGAACAGCACATTGAAAAGCTTATCCATCACGAGCAAGTGGGCTTCATCTCTGGGATGTAAGACTGGTTCAACATATGCAAATCAATAACATAATCCATCACATAAATAGAACCAAAGACAGAAACCACATGATTTTCTCAACAGAGGCAGAGAAGGCCTTTTACAAAATTCAACAGCTCTTCATGCTCAAAACTCAAACTAGGTATTGATGGAATGTATCTCAAAATAAGAGCTATTTATGACAAACCCACAACCAGTATCATGCCAAATGGGCAAAAACTAGAAGCATTCTCTTTGAAAACTGGCACAAGACAAGGATGCACTCTCTCACAACTCCTATTCAACACATATTTGATGTTCTGGCCAGGATAATCAGGCAAGAAGAATAAAGTGTATTCAATCAGGAAAAGAGGAAGTCAAATTCTATTTGCAGGTGACATAATTGTATTTTTAGAAGACCCCTTTGTCTCAGCCCAAAATCTTCTTAGGCTGATAGGCAACCTCAGCAAAGTCTCAGGATACAAAATCAGTGTGCAAGAAATCACAAGCATTCCTATACACCAGTAACAGCAAACAGCCAAATCATGAGTTAACTCCCATTCACAATTGCTACAAAGAGAATAAAATACCTAGGAATACAACTGACAAGGGATGTGAAGGACCTCTTCAAGGAGAACTACAAACCATTGCTCAAGGAAATAAGAGAGGACACAAAAAGATGGAAAAACATTCCATGCTCATGGCTAGGAAGAATCAATATTGTGAAAATGGCCATACTGCCCAATGTAATCTATAGATTCAATGCCATCCCCATCAAGCTACCATTGACTTTCTTCACAGAATTGGAAAAAATCACCTTAAATTTCATATGGAGCCAAAAAAGAGGCAACCATAGCCCAGACAATCCTAAGGAAAAAAGAGAAGAAAAGAAAAGAAAAAAGCTGGAGGCATCACACAACCTAACTTAAAACTATACTACAAGGCTACGGTAATCAACACAGCATGATACTGGTACCAAAACGGAGATATAGACCAATGGAAAGGCACAGAGGCCTCAGAAATAATGCCATACATCTACAACCGTCTGATCTTTGACAAACATGACACAAACAAGCAAGGGGGAAAGAATTCCCCATTTAGTAAATGGTGTTGGGAAAACTGGCTAGCCATATGAAGAAAGCTGAAACTGGACCCCTTCCTTACATCTTATATAAAAATTAACCCCAGGTCGATTAAAGATTTAAACATGAGACCTAACACCATAAAAACCCTAGAAGAAAACCTAGGCAATACCATTCAGAACACAGGCATGAGCAAGGACTTTATCACTAAAACACCAAAAGCAATGGCAACAAAAGCCAAAATAGACAAATAGGATTTAATTAAACTAAAGAGCTTCTGCACAGCAAAAGAAACTATCACTAGAGTGAACCAGCAACCAACAGAATGGGAAAAATTTTTTGCAGTTTACACATCTGACAGAGGGCTAATATCCAGAATCTATAAAGAACTTAATTAAATTTACAAGAAAAAAACTACCCCATCAAAAAGCGGACAAAGGATATGAACAGTTCTCAAAAGAAGACATTTATGCAACCAAGAAACATGAAAAGCAGCTCATCATCACTGGTCATTAGAGAAATACAAATCAAAACCACATTGAGATACCATCTCATGCCAGTTAGAATGAAGATCATTAAAAAATCAGGAGACAACAGATGCTGAAGAGGATGTGGAGAAATAGGAATGCTTTTACACTGTTGGTGGGAGTGTAAATTAGTTCAACCACTGTGGAAGGCAGTGTGGCAATTCCTCAAGGATCTAGAACTAGAAATACCATTTGACCCAGCAATCCCATTACTCGGTGTATACACAAAGGATTATAAATCATTCTATTATACAGACACATGCACGTGTATGTTTACTGCGGCACTGTTCACAACAGGAAAGACTTGGAACCCACCCAAATATCCATCAGTAATAGACTGGACAGAAAAAATGTGGCACATACACATCATGGAATACTATGCAGCCATAAACAAGGCTAAGTGCATGTCCTTTGCAGGTACATGGATAAAGCTGGAAACCATCATTCTCAGCAAACTGACACAAGAACAGAAAACCAAACACCGCATGTTCTCATAAGTGAGACTTGAACAGTGAGAACACACAGACCCAGGGAGGGGAACAACACACTGGAGCCTGTCGGGGGGTCGGGGTAGGGATGTCAGGGTAGGGATACCAGGGGGTGGGGGGCTATGGGAGGGATAGCATTAGGAGAAATACCTAAGGCAAATGATGGAGTGATGGATGCAGCAAACCACGATGGCACATGTATACTTATGTAACAAACCTGCACATTCTTCACATGTACCTCAGAACTTAAAGTATAATAAAAAAGTGAAATCTGAACTAAATTCAAAGATGAAACCTCATAGTAATGATCTCATACTGAGTATAAACATCTATTTCAATGTTTACTCCAGACTGAACACAATGAAAGTGCTTGTGAAAATTACAAGTCTGCCATCTCTAACTTTTATATAATTAAGTTTATGTACACTTACAAAATAACTTGACATTTATTTTGTTGGTATGTTCTAATAAACACACATTCCCAAGACAGCAAAGGAAAAACCCCAGTCCAGAGCATTCTGTCTGCTTGAAGACAAGACACTGCCTCTAGTGCCTTGAGATTCTGGGCTGCAGAAATGGTTGCTGGGGAACATAACATACCTTGGCAGAGCCAGAAACCACTGACAATAACATGTCTTCAAATAAGATCCACTGTGAACAGGGCTCACCCCACTTCGTTTGGGCTCCATTCCATGAAGATATAAGTTAGTAGAAATTACAAAGGAAAATATAAAACATTCCATACACAATTTATTGTACATAACTTGGTGTTTTCTTTTGCTGAATCATACAAATTCAAATAGGGATTCCTGAATAAATCTTTTAATTTACCTTTGGCAGAAATAACAGATTCCAAAACAATGACTAGCATCTCATTTATTTGTTGCTTAAAAAAATTCTGTAGCATATTTTTCAAAAACAATAGTCTTAAACAAATGTGCTTTAACAGCTAACTGGTAATGATCTGATTAATATAGCTTATTTAAGAGAACTATTAAAGGACAGACTATACATGTATTTTTAAAAAAAACAATTTTTGGTCATATGAATGATTCATGTTCAGATTTCAAAAATAGGAAAGATCCTAAAGTGCATCATTTTATTTATAATCTCACTCCTTGAAATTATAGCAATCTGCAATGTAAACAGTAGAGCAAAGAATTCCAAACTATATTTTTATGTACATTTAAACCTGTAGGATGATGTACCTTCTTTGTGTGTGGATTAAAACCAGGGCACTTCCAGCATGTAGCTCAAGCTTGCATATGATTCAGAGCAAACGTAAAGGCATTCCTTTTTCCCCCCATCCTTGACTTAACTTTCAGCTGACAGAGGAGAACTGCTACCTCACTTCAGCCTGGAAAATGTTGCTGTAAATCCCACTGGACCAGCCAGTTTCTCACAACCCTTTTTAAAAACTGAAACCTGGTCAGTATGGTTTTACACCCCCTAGCTTTTCCTTAAAACAAACTTGTGCCCTTCAAGAAGACAACTTTCAAAACATACAGGAGGGTGTCTGTGCTGTGTTCATCCCGTAACACCCGTCTTCAAGGCATAGCTCCTGAAGCACTTTCTCTGATCAGCCATGGTGGGCCAGCAGATCCCTGGGCTCGGCCCGGTGAAGCGCAAAGGTGGACCCGGAACCCACTGTCCTCAGCGCAGGTGCAGGAGTGAAAAAATAACAAATCATAAAGTGACGTCAAGCACACTGAAGAGATGGATGATTTGGTGTTTTACATTCCCTGGTCCCTCGAAGATGTCTAATATAGACAGCTTTGTGACAGAGTCTTTGACAAAATTATAATTGGCCACATGGCATGACTTTTTTTTTTAATACATGGTCTTGAAAATAGTGCGATTTAGATTCTGCCTTGGGCTGAGCTTTCGGGGCTACATATTTACCTGTCAGTTTGGGGATTTCAGTGCAGATTTTCTTTTTTTAAAAAAAAAATAAAACTCTGTTAAGTACTCAGGAGGCTGAGAACACAGGCCCTTTCTCTCCCCTGAGCCTTTATACGCAGGCTAGCACTTAAGCAACCCCTTTATGTTTGGCTAGTGCCACAACGAAACAGCACCAGACAGGTTGCCATGAGCATGCTGGCCTGGCTTGGTGTTTGATGATAAAATCTGAGACTGCTAAGTGCAGTCAGCATTCAGGAAAGAATCTCCAGGCTCTCCCCCATCACCTGGTTTTAAAGTCAGCATTCATACAGCTGCTGCTACAGTCTGTCCTCTGCAGATGACTCAGTCCTAGGCAGCAACCAAAATTCCTTGTCAGCTGAGGAAGTCCTGAAGAAACATCCTGAAGATGATGACTGCACTGCCACTGTGGGCAGATGCAGCTTCCATCTACCTGAGGGCTGAAGGGGAATTCCTTTCACACACAGCTCTGAGGAAAGGTGACTAGAATGGCCGCGGCAGCAAATAGGGCTCCAATGCACGTTCAGACTCAGCTGGGTGAGGAGAGCAGGGCCCTCCACAGCAAGCTTGCTCTACAGAATCAAGTCCTGAGCTTGTTTTTAACTACAATTAGACAGAGAATGGTCTCATGTTTCTCAGTTATACAGGGAAGAACAGTGCATATTCTCTGTAGATGAGTGTCATCTAATGTAGTGTTTTGTATCTGCTAGTGTTAGGAAATCTCCACTATTTGGGTGGGTGGGTGTGTGTGTGCACGCACACACACACACAGAAGTCTTGACTTTCCAATTACAAAATGCCTAAGTCAGGTCACAATGTCTTCTTCCAGCCAGTTTCTAAGGGAGGCAATGGAAACAGGAGCTGATGCCAATGGTCAAGAGGCAGAAGGGCCGCATGCTTTGCAGGGCCAGCTCCAAGGCTGCCTTCCAGAACTGCTCTTTCCCAGGGAACTCTCACTGCAGCCGCCAGCGCCCCCATGCTCAGACGGGGGTTGCCCCTCACATGGACTTGGAATCAGTGTCTCTCTTGCTGATGAGCACCTCCAGGAGCCTCAGTTTTGCCTTTATGTGTTTGTATTCACTGTATTCTTCAGCCATAGGAGTGCGGTCTTCCTTCTGGACATTTCTAATGGAAATAAAGGAAAAGGGGTCTGAGGGTCATTTTCTGTCTTTGTGAGATACTATTCCTCAGGCAAATTATTGTGTAGAAATTTTGCAGTTTATCAACGTGTAGAATCGGTGTTGCCAAGCGGCCCTTGGTCTCAAGACTGGAGCTGGATTTAGACAAGTAATGAAAATGTTTCCCCCAGAAGACATCATGTGACTGAGTTTTTATATAGTTAATCTGGCAACTTGTATGACAGGAAGGCTAAGAAATGCAGAAATTCTCTCTCTGCTAAGTATGAATTCACATTGAGTTCTCATACATCAAAATCCTTTATTCATACTTAGTGTTGTCTCATTCTTATATATTTCATCTTGTGAACTTTTAAATTTTTAATTAGCAACTGGTCTACCCATAACTTACAGGGTTTTTTTTTTTTTTTCCAAAAACAGATAGTTAATACTCCTACTTATGATAAAACAGTCTTAGAATTCAGCAGCTGGATCACATAATACTATTATAATAAGCCTTTATAATTTACTGAGTAATTTTACATGCATAATATTTATATGCACGTATTCGAGAGCATATAGGTCAAGCCCTGTGCTAAGTGTTTTGTATCCATTATCTAATATAACCCTTACAACACCTTGATGAGATGGAGCCATTATCTGTACATTAAACATGATGAAACCAGCAGAGGAAATCGGATAACTCACCTGCTCTTGGCCACACCATGCAGTGCGCTGCTGCTTTGTGCTTTATGGGAAATCGCACATGGCAAACATCCAAACACAGGTTTCCTGCCTTTATTATTAAAGGGCAAAAGTGGGCCAGGAGGCTAGCATGGGCTTAATTTGTTCAATGAACTAAAAATCAACCGATCTATTCATACCGTGCCTTGTTCTAGGAAAGGATTCTAGTGACTTCTTAGCAGAGGGCAGGGTAAGGAACAGGTGCTCAGGAATTGGAGCATCTGGCACACGGGCCCCGCTGCACTCTGAGGGCCGTCACTCTCCTCAGACACGAATTCCTGGAACCAGAGCTTATCTCCTAAGTCCCTCATGGTTCTGTTTCCTGATGATTGATGTCCACCATTGACATTTTCTTAAAACCTGGGAGGTTTACTTAATTCTATGTAGTTCCTCATGTATAAGATAATGTACATAATGTTACTAGAATAATATAAAAAAGGATAAACCAAAAATATGCTTAGAGGAAAGATACCCATCAAACCATTAATTCTGATTTGTCTTTGGCTATTATTTTGGGAATTACGACTTATATTTGCTTATCTATATTTTCTAAATACCCTGCAATGGGTGGGAAATGAAAAGCAAATATTTAGGTATAAAAATGTATGACACACAACCAAATCAGAGATCTAAAAGTAAATTCATACAATAATTGTTACAATAAACTGAAATACAATATATTTTAAATGACAATTTTTTTTTAGACAGAGTTTCACTCTTGTTGCCCAGGCTCACTGCAACCTCCACCTCCTGGGTTCAAGTGATTCTCCTGCCTCAGCCTCCTGAGTAGCTGGGATTACAGGCATGCACCACCATGCCTGGCTAATTGTATTTTTAGTAGAGACAGGGTTTCCTCATCTTGGTCAGGCTGGTCTCGAGCTCCTGAACTCAGGTGATCCGCCCACCTTGGCCTTCTAAAGTGCTGGGATTACAAGCGTGAGCCACTCCGCCCAGCCAACGAAGTTTTTTTATGGTGCTTTTATTTCTCCAAACTTTGAAGAAGTGTAAAAGAGGACTCGAGAAACCATACTTACACAGCTTCAGTAATCGGGGTTAAAACCAATCTAAAAATGATAAAACCTAACTCCAGTGTAAGAGATGCAAACCTATCCCTGGTCCTCTCCTTGGGCTCCTGCTGCGACTTTCGGTAAGACGTTTTGTGTGCTGTTGCTCGTAAACATAAAAGGCTACTTCTCAACATAACATTTATGAGGATGATTAAATTATGCCTTGAAACTCACTAGTGAGAGAGCACCCATCAACCAGGTAGACATACTGCTTTTCATACATATTTTTCATTTAAACTTAGCAACTATCACCTTCATTTTTGAACTGAGTTTGAAAATCAGTAATACTTAGGTCCCTCTTTCCTTGTTTCTCTAGTTCCTTTTATTCAGAGATAAGATCTCGCTCTGTTGCCCAGGGTAGAGTGCAGTGGTGGATCATAGCTCCCTGCAGCCTCAAACTCTTGGGTTCAAGCAATCTTCCTGCCTTAGCCTGCCAAGTAGCTAGAGCTACAGGTGTGCCACCATGGCCACTTGGCTAAACTCTAGTTTCTTAAGAAAAAAGCCTTGGTGCCACCAGCTGGAAACACAGTTTCCTGCTGCTCATTGCAGACAAGAATCTGATGGGACCGGTTCATTTCATAAATGTCAGCTGAATCTGCATTAGTCTTTGGATAATTGCCATTATCCAAAGAGCATTTCTTCTGGGAGGTCCACACAAATCCCATCATCTTGGTCAATCTCTAAGGGTTTCTGGGCACAAACCCAAGGACCAGGTTTCAGGGAGGATGCTGAAGAGTCCCCCCTTTGAAGGCATTCCACAGATCTGACAGGAGAACAAGAGGGATGGGTGTGTGTGGTAAGGTGGTGGGGAAGGGCGGGCCAGGGAAGACAGGCAGTACCTTCCATTCTGTCTGAAAAAGTTGTCTTCAAAATCCCGAAGTTTCTTTCGAATCCTTTTCTTTTCTTCTCTCATTTCCTGGAGGTGTTCCAGGAGTTCAGGTCTAAGAGAGAAGAAGCATTAAGGAAAGTAAGTGAAATTTGAGTTGTAAATGTAATGAATGTGCAACTCAACAGGAGCTGTGCAGAAAGGTGAGGCAAGTGCAGACTGCTGGGGCACCGAGGGGCGTGGAAGTGGATGTTTTCCATCTCCTGAAAGCCAAACATGCTGGCAACGGATCCAGCTTCTGGGGGTTCCTGCTACTTAGGATGCCCAGTGTATATTAAGTGATGGGCTGTGATGTACAGAACCACACAATGCCGTTTATAGAGAGAACTTCTGGTTGTTTAAGCAAGACTCAAAAGTTCCCTCAAATAACATGGACTGAAGCACAGGCAAATTTTTTAAGAATCACTGTTTTATGCAGATACACCCTAGGTAGTCACTTGTATTTTATCAGCTACTTCATGTAGATACACAGGCTAAAATAATATTTAAGATAGCTATTTTTAACAAAACATTTCACCACCACCACCAAAATGACATACATTGAAGCAGCATGGAGATTTGAAAGCCCTGTGTCCTGGCTGCATTTTGATGGCATTTTATCATCCATTGGGGAAATAAACCCATCAGCATCATCTTCAAATTGGTCCAGAAGGCATCGTGCACTGAAATCCGTTTTCAGAGTGACCATGAAGACTGGCTTCGTATTGCTGTCATCTTCTGACCCTTCCTCTTCTTCCTGAAGACACACAGCAACCCAATAAAAATCTGGTCACTTTTTGGAGCATACTTTCATTACAAGTATCATTTAACAATCACTTAAGTATCCAGACACCATATAGTTTCTTCTGTATTTACATTTAGCAACATGTACATTACAGATATATTATTTAACATCTATATATACACAATAACACAAACAACAGCCACTCAATACAGAAAACAGACTGGAAAACTATTTTAAAATGAGTGTACAGTGTGACTAATATGTTGTCAGGGTTGGGATAGGAAGGAACAACAATCATAATTTACAACCTAAATGAGGTGAACCAAAAGGATCCAAACATTTCCTGCTCTGATAGTACCGGATCCATCGCCAGTAACCAGTGCTTTAAAGGATTCTACTACTTGTGTATCTCAAAAGAGTTTTTTAAAAATCAGAGTCTGAACACTTTCTGAAATCAAACAATACAACCTTTCTTTTAAAGAATTGAGATTAGAAAATATTTTAGGGTTGTTTAATGCACAAAATTTTACGGAATTTTTAAGAAGACTGAAACATTATATTCTCATGATTGAAATAGGAAAACTGGGGCCGGGCGCGGTGGCTCACGCCTGTGATCCCAGCACTTTGGGAGGCCGAGGCGGGTGGATCACGAGGTCAAGAGATCGAGACCATCTTGGTCAGCAAGGTGAAACCCCGTCTCTACTAAAAATACAAAAATTAGCCGGGCATAGTGGTACATGCCTGTAATCCCAGCTACTCGGGAGGCTGAGGCAGGAGAATTGCTTGAACCCAGGAGGCGGAGGTTGCGGTGAGCCAAGATTGTGCTATTGCACTCCAGCCTGGGTAACAACAGCGAAACTCCGTCTCAAAAAAAAAAAAAAAAAAGAAAAAAGAAAAAGAAATAGGAAAACTGAAGCTTTTCCAAGGAAATTCCAAGGGCCACATTTGTATTTTTCAGCATACAAGAAAAGTATGATATTCTCTGTGCTGATAATGCAAATAGAATAATAAAGCCAAATTAGCATTCTTAGTGCCAATTTAAGGCTATGTAAGCCTAAGGAAGAAATAATATCAGGGTCTGAAAGATTTCGAAAGAAGTTATTTACTGCCAAAAGGTAGTCAAACCACAGAGAATATCTTACTATCTTAAAAAATTAAAAAAGTGGTTCAGAATACAGATACATGAACAACAGTATGCATAGCATCAATGATTACAGGTAAACTAAATGGCTTCCATGCCAGTACAGGCAAAAAACTCTTAGGAGGCAGCAGCAGTTCCCGCTGGAGGGCAAAGTACACGTTTGCAAATGGCTCGTGGTGAATTTCGGTATGCTTAATAATGGTGCCTCTGAAGAGAAATAATGTGAATAAACAAGCAACCAAACAAAGCAAAACAAACAAGGATTATCATATAACTGATCAAAGCATCGCTATGAAAATAAAATTGGCAAAATCGAGGTGGCTTTTCCAGGTTGTCTCAGCTGTGACTTCAGATATTGAGTCTCTTTGCTTGGTCCATAGAAGTGAAGGCCTCAGTAATATATTTTTCATTTTAAATTGTTAAAATATTTTTAGAATTACAAAGTAATTTAAATAAATAAGTTTCTTTTTCTTTTAGTAAGAG